GCGGCCTCGGGGTCGTGTCCCGGCGTACCCGCAGGGGCGCTCGCCTCCCCCGCGCCCGCGCTCTCCGCTGGGGCCCCGCCCCCAGCCCGCCCGCCTGGGGATCCTCCGCCCACCCGACTCGCGGAGTGGGGCGCGTGCCCCGAGACGCCAATCGGGGGACCCAAGGATGCGAGAGGCCGGAGAGGCGCCCCTGTACCTCTGCCCTCGGCTTCCGGGAGGCTCAGGCCTTGTCCGGCCTTGATCGCGCCGGCTTGGGGTCCTTGGCCAGGTTATGGCCGGGTGGGGAAAGGAGGCCTCGGGATCCGGCGCCAGAGGGCCGCGCGTCTGCGCCCCAGGCCCGGGCTGCGGAGGTCCGGGGCGCCGGGTCTCCGCGCAGGTCCCGGTGCTCGGCCCTCGGGTCCCCGCACTCCGCTCTGCGCTCCTGTGGGCTCTCTGGGTGGCTTCAGGCCGCCCCGCCAGTGATGAAGGGGTGCGCGCTGATGAGGTGCTACCCTAGGCAGCTCTTAGCACGCGCGGCCCTCCCTCATTCCGTGGCAATTTGTGGCTATGAAAACCGTGTTTCTGATACAGCCACCGAGTCATCCGCGCTTCTGCCGCCACTCCGCAAATTTCAGGTATGATGGTAGTTGGAAATTACAGCTTTTACCGCGTCGACTCTTACTGAGAGTAATTTTAACAAACCCTCGCTGGATAGATTAGTGGTTAGTAGATAAATCAAACTCAGTATTTTCCCCCAATTTGTAAAATGGAGATAGCAGCTTCCACGGAGCGCGTTTAGCGTCCCGGGTCCCCCGGGCGGCTCGGCTGCAGCCAGCGCTCTGATGCTCCAGAGCGCTGTGGCGTTTTTCTGTTTCCCAAGGTCTTGTGACTGTCCTCTACAGATTAAATAAATTTATTCCGTTTTTCTCAGGTATTTTTTACCCTCTTTACTCATCAAATTCACAAAGCTCAAAAGTATTTGTTGACCATGCATGTGCTCTTGCAACCAAAAGTGGGGTCTGTCTTCAGCACCACTGGAACCCATCGTCAGCTGAAGGGCAGCCCACTTACCGCAAGAGCATCGGCCTGAAAGGAGATCTGCGTGCCTCCGCGCCCCTGGCCCTTGTGTGATGTTTCTGAGCAGTGGTCGCCCAGCCGCGTTCGCCGTGCCCTGGAAAAGCCCCTCATATTTGTCAGTGTGCTCTTAGAAGAGCCTGCTATGTGCTGGCCACTACCTACCGCCCTGAACCCTGCTCCAGCCGCACCCTGCCCTGCCTGGATCTCCCACTCAGCTGAGCCCAGGGCTCCGTGTGGAGGTGGCTTGGTGCCCCTAAAGCCTCCTCTGCGTGCTGTACAGCTGCTTCCTTCAGGGACGACTCCTGGGCCCCTCCCCAGCCCTCTGGCCTTCTGCTGATCGTGCTGGTCTTCCGATGACCCACAGGTGAATGCTGCTTCAGAAAGGGTCTGTTTCACCCCGTGGGCCTGGCCAGTTGGCCGGTTGGGCACACCCCGTGCCTTAGGTAGCTTCCTCCTATTAGTGCAGCTGCAAAAGAGAAGCAATGGCAGCAGCTACCGCTTATCATGCCTTGTTTTCTACCTCAGATCGTAGATAATTTTTCCAGAGCTGCCAGAAGAAAACGCTGCAACCTGGGTGCTTTAAACTGGATTCCATTTCTCACTGTTAACAGAGGCCAGAAGCCCAAAGTCCAGATCTGGGTGCTTGTTTTCTCCTGAGACCTCGGCTTTGGTACCTGTGAGCTTACGGCCATTCACCGGTGGGGTCTGCATCCTATCTCATTGTAAAGACGTCACTCGGGCGGCATCAGCAACCACCCCAGGGACTCTTTCAGTTGTCTCTGAAATGCCCCGTCTCCAAATATAGCTGCATTCGTAGGTTCTGGGCTGGAGGCTTCAGCTTCTGGATCTGGGAGGAGAGGAGACCTGTGTGCACCACCTCGCGGCAGAAGTGGACATGGGAGTTACGCTGAGCAGCATGGACCAGGGAGGTAGGTGGGTCATCCACAGCAGATTCTGGTCAGGACACCCTCAGGATATGGCGCATGACACCAGCTCCATCCTGGGGCCTTCTCCACTGCCGTCCTGTCATGCTCCTGTGACTGCCCTGGGCCTAGGGCTCTGCAGAGCCACAGCTGGGATGCATCCCAATGTTTTTCCAATGGAGGCTGCGTCTGTGTTTCTCTTTCACACAGGAAGAGGAGTTGGCTACAGAACCCACAGCGGTGGAGAAGGCCAAAGGCAAGTTCCAGAGTCCTGTGCACAGCCAGGAGCCCAGGCCCTGCCCCGCTCTGATCAGTCTCTCCACTTCCCTGCCTCACCCATGCAGCAGACTCCTACAGAGCTTGCTCAGCACCTTTCCTTATAGCATGGATGGGGACTTACCTTGGGTGGCTGGTAGTACTTTACTCCACGTTCACTAGTTGAACACCTCCTATGAACTGCCCATAGGTGCTGGGAACTCTACAGCAAGCAAACCCACAACTCTGTGCCCCACTTCCTGAACTTTCACTCTGATTAGGAAAGCAGATGGCGAGTAAGAAAAGAATCACACTTCCCTAGATGGTGTTCAGGGCTGGGTGGGACAGAGTCAGTCCACTTAGCTGTCTTCAAAGTGTCCCAGACACACAGACACTGGAGCAGAGGGTGGCTCCTGCACAAGCCTCGCCTTGGAGAGGGGACACCTGCTCCCTGGCAGCCCAGGGTCCTCACATCCTCTGGCTCTTTCCCCTGCCTCTGGGCAGTGGAAGCCAGGGCCCTGGTTCTCTAGAAAATAGTATTTAAAAGAATAGTTTTCTGTTGGGCAGGTTGAGCTGGAGGTCAGCAGAGCTCTCAGCAGTCCACTGGTGAGGACCTGTGCACGGCCACCCCTAGCTGTGCGGGCATGGAAAAGGTGGTTTTGTGGGCAGCCAGGGACCAGGGGAAATGAGCCCACAGAGGCATCTTCTGCAGAAGGACAGAGGCTGCGATGTTCAGTGTGGTGGACAGGAAGCCCTTGGTGAGATGCTGGCATAAATAAAAGCCTGAGAGGCAGGAGGGAGCCATGCAACCGGGCAAGGGAACACAGACACCAAGTTCACAGGCGAGTGTGTGCGGTGTCCAGGCCAGCACTCTCGCCCATTGGCCTGGCCTCTGGGCCTGAGACTCCCCCCGCTTCTGCTCACCCTGCGCTGGCCCTGCTGCCCCTGCTGTGTGCGACTGCTGTGGGTGGACAAGCACACACAGCAGTTTGCTTGACGAGCAGCCTTGGAGGCCAGGATTCAGGTCTGGCCTGGCCTGCAGCGTCCCGGCGCTCAGAGGGGCAGCACACACACACTCCAGTGGAGAGCGAGGGACAGATGGAGTGAGTCTAGGAGTGACTGAGCAGACAGGAGGGCTGGGCCTCCTCCCAGTAACGCCGTGGCCAGCCCAGCCCAGCCCAGTGGTCCCTTGGCGAACATGGAGCCCCCAGCTCACAGCACCTGTGCCAGGCCAGGGTCAAGGCAGACTCACTCTTGACACTGAGAACCTGGTTGCTCCTCCTCTCTGGGCTTCTAAGAAAGCGTGCCACTGACCACAGACTGTTCCTTGAGCACTGGGCCGTGAGGCCTCAGTCGAGTGCAGAGCCACCTCTGCTCCAGGGACAGCATGAGGGCACAGTGTGACCATGAGTTCCTCCAGCGCTTGGCCACCCTCCACCGTGCTGTGCAGCCACAGTGGCTGCCTGGCCTGTCTGTCACTGTAGGGCTCAGAGCCATGGCCTGCCTCCAGTGACTTTTTGTCTCCTCAGAGCTATAACATTAACCCTGTCACAGGTGAAAGCAAGCCTGGCAGCACCCAGGAGGGCCCTGGGAGGGGTTGGGTGACCTCCAGTGTCCTGGAATGGTCCCTCCCAACTGTCCTGGGGCAGGGGTATAAGCCCATGAGGAAGTAGAGGGATGAGGAGGCAGTGAACCCCCAAGTGGGGACCCAGGATGTTCACAGGCGCAGCTTCGAGACCCACAAGGCCAATGATCATGCCTTCCCAGAGCCGTGTGGCTTGGCCTACAGACAGCTGGAGAGAGGACCAAGGGAGCACCCGCTCCTCATTTGCCCTGCACACTGCAGAGTCCTGGTTCTTCCTTGCATCCCTCCACATCCTGGCACTGAGGCCCTCGAGCCTCACCACCCCAGGTAGCTCTCCCCAGGTGAGCTTCTTCCTGCAGTGGCATCCAGAGCCACCACTGCCAGGAGCACCACACTCAGGGCCACCATTGCCCAGAGCAGAGTATGAAGGATAAAGGATGGCCCGTGCCAAGGCTGGGAGCACCGCACCTCCACCTCAGCCTCAGCTTGCTGCCTCTGGCCCCACACCCTGCCTGGTGGTCCTGCCCGTGCACAGCTCCGATGGGGGCGTACAAGCACGGAGCCCCTGGGCATGAGGTCCTTTCCGGCTGTGCCTTCATGTCCGGGCCCAGCAGGCCCAGGTGGCCATGAAACATACTCCTGATGCAGAGGACAGTAAACCGAGCACTCCCTGGACCCCAAGCCTCGACACAAAGGTGGCGCCGGGGTCAGGTCCAGATAGCACAGGCAGGGTCCCTGGTCAGTGCCCAGGAAAGCAGCCCACGAGGCCCACCGCCGGTGCATCTGACCGCAGAATGCTGGAAGCCTTGCAGAACAGTGACTGATGGCCCCTTGGGGTGCTGCGCTTGGCGGAGGCTGGCTGTCTCTGTGCTCTGTCCCTCATGGGACAGTGCAGGGTGACATCTGCATGGGGGTGGTGACATTGGACAGCAACTGACCAATCCTGTAACCTTGGCAACTCATATGCAG